CAGTACAACGTTTCACTGCGAAATAGGACCCGATTTTATTAACTGTAAATCTAAAGTCACTCAGTACAACGGCAACAAAATCACATCTCACAACAATCGAAGCATTACAAGGTTTTATCTGGAGTAAAAAAAATGAGTTGCAACTACTATGCCTGCTCACTAAAGAAAAACCTCGAGCGAGAAAAGCACTGAGGAAGGTTAAATAGTTGTAAACATGGTATGGCACCCTGTATAGTCCTGTATATGCCAGGAAGTCTCTGATGTATCGAGTATTGAAGTGCAGGGTTCATAATAAGTCGTAAACCCGTATGAGCTTACTGTCTCATACGGCGCCACAGCTCAACTTCAGCATGACGTATAAAAGTAGCGTTGAGTTCCAAATGGAAATTGAAATAATTTGCCGTCGCGGTTTCGGTTCGCAGACGACGCAAATTTTGGCGATTTCACGTTGTTGTTTTGCATAGGACGGCTAAGAAATGTACAAAGTTTCAAAGTGCACGTGCTGAGCTATTGTTCTGCCAATTAGATCTCTTGTTTTTCCACGTCCTCGTTGCCGTCGCCGTCGTGGTTGCTTAAGGTCCCTAATTAGTGACTGGATAACCTTTCATTGTACGCCTTATGATCATGAATGCAAGTGAAAGTTGCAGATTGCTTAATATAGTACAGTAGAAAGATTATACCACTGCGGTCTTCTTCACTTCCTTATGAAAGTGAATAATGAGTCCCAATAAATTGAAATTTTTGACTTGTCACAAGTCGACTGTCAATGTTGATGTTACTACAGAGAACTGAACAGAAAACCATGCGAGGGTACCTTCATTTAGCTAATCAGATCACGTGACTTACTATTTATTTCAATGACGACACAGTATCGGTAACGCAATCGATATCGAAGAAAAAGGTGAATATAGTACTCGGTATCGTATCGATTCGAAAAAGCCTTATCGGGCCTTCCTTATTTTGAAGTCTGGCGAAATTTTGCTAATGGGACGGGTGGGCTGGGGTAAGACACTTACACCTCCCACCTGTCCCTACCTACCATTTGTGAAATGTTTCTCAGATCAAACATGTACGTATACCGGCATTTCTATTTTACGGACTTTTCCCACACTTTAATTCAGTATGGGAAAAGGGCATATATCTTAACTAGGCAACTAAACTAGCAAAATAATTCTAAACAAATAGCAAGACTTGTTTAACAAATAAAAGGAACTGTGAGCTTGGAAGGCCAGGTAGAACCCTATTCTACGTCATAGGATAGATAAACTTTTTAAAGTCTTTGTTTTTAAACTTTAAAAACCACCTCAGTGTGAACGTGAATATTATTTTTTGTGGAGAAGTGAAAATTGCATTACATTCCTCTGATGACTCTTTTCCATTCTGTTCCAGATGTTATATTAACATTAGCATGAACGAAAAAATTAAAATAAATAAGTTAATAAATAAATATACAAAACTGAGTATTTAGATTTTCTGTAAGACGAAAAGAAAATTCACAAGTTACATTCAATTTCTCGTTTTTACATTTCTGTGTCCTAAAATTTTTCATATTACATACTTTTACTTACTAGGAAAGTAAAACTTACGCCCAAGCTCAAATCTTGACCCCAATAAACCTCAATCAACGATATTTTGAGTAACAAAACTACCCCTCTTATCTTTAGGAGAAGATGATTTTTCTTTCTTTCTTTTTTACCCCCCTCTTTCATAAGTATTTTTAATATTTTTTTCAGCTACATAAAAACTTAATGATTCAGGTGGCGAAAAGAATCCACAAGGCACTAAACTGAGCCACATGGTTTGATTTGCGCGGCGTTGTTGTTGTTATTATCCGGGAACTCGATGCTGTTTCTCACATGAAGCATCGTCAGAAACACGTGCAAAAATTCCAGAGCCGGAAGATGAATGAGGAAGTTGCTTTGGTAACTAACAAAACTCAGCATAGTTTTGGTAGCGAAGCTAAGGTCCAGCTAACCGCTATGGATCTCGAATAACTGGCAGAGAAGGAACTTCAAAAGTGGTAAGTTTTCCGGGTCTATTTTATACTATGTCTTATTACAACCTTCGAGAGCCGATGGCTCGGGAAAACTAAGTCTGTGTTTACCTAATTTACTCAGTCGTACATGCCGTGAGACGCATGTGTGTGGTTGTTCAAGTGAAATGTCTGTGTACTACCAGGAAAAGATGTAATAAACTTTTGTGATGACTCAAGTCTTTTATTTTTTTAGTTAATTTTCAAATGGATGTACACATAGGGGATTGATGGGGGATACCAGCATGTAGTTAACTCATTTCCATAAACAGTTTTGACTTCAAATAAACTGGCCATAAGATAAAAAAAAAGCTTAGAATATAAAAATAAAAGATATAGGCATGCAAAACTCACAAGTGTAAAATTCACGGGCAAGTGCACACCTCGTAAGGGGAAAAGTGCATGACTTGCAAATGCCCTCTGAAAGCTTGATAATGACACCACAGATCAGTTATGTTTTTGCATTGTTCATAGGAGTGCCTCAGGAATCCCTGCATCTTACGATTCTCAAAGAGACAAGTATTTTTAATAAGGTATATTAACAATTGCAGACGTGATGCCAACTGAAATCGGGTATTGCATCTCGTTAAAGGTGTTTGAAACCCAGTCAGTCTTAGTTTTGATGGGCACTTAATTGCTTTCAAAATGCAGAACCTCTCTCTTTTAGCAAGGAGTGATATTTACATGAAAATGAATACCCTCAGTTGATTAAGCCAAGATGGATTTTCATTAGTTATAACAGGGCAAACGAGCCTAAAAAAAGTTGCATATAGGAAGGGGGGGGGGTGGAGAAAGAGAAACTTTCCCTCCCCTATCCCTGAAAGGTTTCACCCTTACCTATTTAATAGAAGGCTTTGTACTTCTAGGAAGTGGCCTATCAAAACCAAAACTGAGTTTGGAGAAGTGTTTCTCGTGTTTCCATGGCTGTTAAACATGGCCTAGCACTATTCAGTTTGGTGTTTCAAACAGCTTGGCCCCATTTTTTTTTAATCTCTGATCTATTTAATTTTAAGCATGAAGGCTTAAAATTCATTTTAGACAACTAGTAATAGAATGGTTAATTAATTAGATGCATATGTAGATGGGTTTTCTACAATTTCTGTAGCCTATTTAGACCACACCAAATAATCAGAGTAAGGTGTTAAAAAAAAAATCATGTAAATGCAAACAGGAAGTTATAAATGTTTGCAGAAGCCCGTGGATTATTGTTTTATTAAAGTGTCCAAAAACATCTTATTTCACCTTAGGCTAGTATTTGTTGGTGTTTCATTAATTGTCACAACAGGCATGCAGCTAGGAACCCTTTTTTATCAAACATACATGTTGCCAATGCTTGAGAGCCAACTTCTTACAAACTAGTCTGTTGGCCACTGGTATTAGATAGTACATCTGAGTTCATAAAAACAAACAATTCTGTCATTTCTCAATAGTGAGGGTATTTGTTTTTACACAAATTGACACACATTTCGTTTTTGTAGACAATATACCAAATAATTAATGTTTAGCTAAGTGCAAAGGAGTGCTAATCAAACTTGATGTGTTGGCATAGCGCACAGGGGGAACAAAATATGAATTGTGATGTGAAAGTTATCAGTTTCTTCACAAGTCGTTCTTTTTTTCCATTCATAAAATTAATAGATTATTTGTTTGCAACAACTTTGCAAATGAGAATTAAAGCTGAAGAAGAATGTGAATATTTGAAGATATACCTGGCTTTTTTTTTATGGCAAATTCCAAATAAAAATTAATCAGATTTTCCAAAAGGAAAACAAACCAAGCTCTGCTTACTTACCTGCAGGGCAGAAGCTTAGCCAGTGTGCTGCTTTGCTCATCCACATAGGATTATCACAGGGGGGAGTAGCTGGAACTGAACCTTTCAAAGTCAGAGTAAATCTCTGAATACTTGTCAAATTTCATTGAATTCACAGTTTGTGAACCCTAATTTACTCCCAAAATTTAAGTGAAAATTTTTCTCACTGTTTGTCATACATTTTCTACAAAGTTGTTTTGAGAATTTGGTCTGCAGTGGAAATGATAATCCCCAATTAATAGTTTTTTTACTATTCTCATCACTTGGCTGTTTGATATTGTACTCATTTTGTAAAGAGAAATTATGTCTTGATCACACATGGGAGTGACTTAGGGTTAGAACTCATTTATACTTCTAGGTGGAATGAAACACCTGAACCTAATGTGCTAATATATGTACTAATATGCCAATGAATTTGAAACTTCAAAATTCCCACTCCCTGGACAACCCACAGGCAGTTGAGCATTTTCAGTACCTGGGGAATGGGGAATTTGAACCTTGCCTGGCTGGGGTGGGAAATTTGAACTGAAAGTGTCAAGTATTTCCAGTGGAAAACAAGTGTTATCAATATCTTTTGATATGGCAGTGTTTAATGGTGAAGAGTTCATTTTCATGAGTGTTTGGCTCAAATGAAAAGCTCTACAAAATCTTGTTTTCAAAACTTGGAAGGTTCAAATGTCTGGGGAGCTGCCAAGGGCTTCAAAATGATCGATGCATGATTTGTATTTGTATAAATACTTCAGTTCTCCTTACTTCTAGAACTACTGACAATACCGACTGTCTTCATTTTGAAGTGATGACGGGAGCTCAGCTATTGTTCATCACTTACAGCAATCACCAATAAGAAACCCCATGTCACCTTGAATTCCAGAACATTTAGGTTAAGATTTCCAAGTTCAAAAGGCCATATCTAGGTTGCAAGAGCACTCACTTTGAAAATTAACCTTTCCTTTAGCAATGAGTCTTATTTACAGGGATAATAAAAAAGCCTTGTCAGTATAACACTTTTTTATTTCCTTTTAGCACAAGTTCAACAGTTAGGTAAGGATTTTTAGGCCTTTAATTTAAACCCCTGAGAGTAAAAAGCTTTTAATTTCTCCAAACACTATCACGGTGACCACTAAATCAAAAATCAAGGTCAATTGAGAATCAAGGAAATGATCACAAACAAAACAAGCCATTGATTATCAAACAAATTCTCCTTGTCAGAACCTTAGGGAATGTATAGAGAACAGAATGGAGAATAAACACACTGGGTGTAATGGGTAAAGCAAACCGAAAAAACCTAAGCAAGGGAGAGCTGGAGGAGAGGGAAACCTTTCCCACCCCTCTCTTGATATGTGGGCTAGGCAAAGGCTTCAAGGTTTCACACTTGCTTTGGCCTTGTGCTTGTTTAAAATAGCCCATCAGGAGCACATTGTCATGTTTCCCTGGCAGTCAAGCATAGATTAGCAAATTGTATATTTAGTGTTCTGAACAGTTTGGACCTTTTTCAATAGCATAATCCTTTTCAATCTAATATCAGTATGCATATTCTCCATACCTTTCTCTATAGATTTCCTTAGTTGCTGATAAGGAGCAGTTGTTTAGCAATCAATAGTTCCTTTAGCTGTTGATCATTTCCTTCATTCTCATGAACTTAATGAGTGATTAAGGAGTTATACCATAGGGAGAAATTAGATGCTGGTCATTCCAAGGGGTTTGGAGCTTAAGACTCCGTTACTGATAACAGAATTATCGATAAATTTCTAATATTTGGCTCTACATATAATTTCTGTTGCCTGTTTACACCAGAGAAAATAATTTGAGAATAGTTCATTTTACAGTTGTGTGCTTGGTTGCCAAGCCTTTGAATGGGAGTGAGGCTAGGGTTGACCTTGTTATGATACAAACCTTGCTGCCTTTCAAATGTAAATCACTTTGTTATCATGCCAAGTGGATACAGGTCTCTATCACAACAAGGCCACCTTAAGCCTTACTCTGAATCAAAGGCTTGGCAACTAAGTACACAACAGTACTGTAAAATGGCCTATTAAAAAAAAAGAAGCCCTCACATGTTTAAGATGAAATGCACAGTACACATGCAGGATAGGCAATAGATAAAACTGTACACACACCATGCAATCACATCACTCCATCTCACATCCTGAGGAGCTAGGAGAGTTCCTCTCAGATGGCACAGTGCTGGATGACAGGGAATTCACACATCCTTCATAGGATGGTTCCAAAGACATCATTTCTGTTGATGTTATTAATTTGGAGATATCCTCTAGTCTCTCCCTGATGGGAATGATTTCGAGATTGAATCCAAGTGTTTCAGCCAGGGACAGTGCTTGACTGGCTTCACTCTGCGCTGCATCCAGATCACCCAGCCTATAATTGAGGTCTGACTTAGCCCCTAAGAACTGAATTTTCTGTCCTTCACTCATCTCATCCTCGTATTTTTCTTGAACTGCTCGAAGACAGTTTTGGGCATCTGCAATGCATTTATCACTTGTAATTTGTTCTCGAGCTGCTCTTGTGCCACAATTAAGATCTAGTGAGGCGAGTTTGAGCAGCCCAAAGTGATGTTTTTTAATGTATAGGCTGCCACCATCAAGCTCTATACTCAGATCTATGCATTGCCTCATGTAGTGTTTCGATCGTTCCACGAGCTTTCTGCGTGCAGAAAGATGAAGTGGAACAGAGTTTATATATATGGTCAAATTGCTGGCCATCTCATAGAGTATCAGTGCCTTTACGAAACGAGCAGTTTCATTTTGTGATTTTGGTAATACTTGTTCTGCAACAGCTATGGTGGAATCCGCTTTCCCATGCTTGTACTGCCGTCGGTAAGTTCCAGTCAAGTAAACGTGGGCCATGGTCACCAGATAGTCCCTCATTTCAACTTTAGTTTTAGAATTCTTCAACTTCCTTAACACCTCTAGTACCATGGATTCCGCGTTCTCCAAGTCATTTTGGTAACTGACAATCACGCTCTTCTCGAGAAGGATTAAGAGTTCCAGCTCTAAATCACCTTTGCTACTCATCAGCATACCATCTGCGACGCTGGTAAAATCCCCAAAATTGCCACTGTCCCGTAACGGATGAAGTCTGTTCAAAATGATGTGAAATCGCTTTATCGATCTTTCAAATGCACAGTCCCGTTCCCCTGAAACCGAAGGAAATATTTCTGGTCCACAGTGACCGTAAGAAGAATCTTCATCGCTTTCGTCCGAAATGTTTTTCGAGGGAAACTTAGAATCGCCTATATATTTGCGCTGGGGGAACCTTAACTTCGTTTGTTTGCGTTTAATTCTGCGTCTTTCACCTCCATCGTGGTAAGTGGCCGTCCTTCGAGTCGTTGTTCTTCCTGATCGATAACCTGCAGAATGCTCAGGATACTGAAGACATCGACAATAGTTATTCAAAACGTTTCCATCACCAATTACTAGGGTTTCAATCTTAGAGTTGATAATATTGATGGTGTATTTCCCGTCTTCTTGTGAGCTTGGCAGAGAGACTGCCATAATAACGAACGAAAAATGATCACATGAGATCCCATTTTGACAATCTGCTGAAATTTTTCTAGTGGGACGGGTGGGCTGGGGCAGGACTCTTACTCCTCCCTACCCCTATCTACTATTAGTCAACTGTTTCTCAGATCCAGAAGGTACGTGTANAAGCTTTTTATTTTTGGTTCGCACATTGGTTTATTTCTCGCGTTCAGCTTACTTAATAATCGCTTCATTGTTATTTATGCTAGTGTTACATTTCTCAGAGATATTTTTTTAGTTTAGCTTCTGCTGTATTTTCTTTTAGTTCGAACCTCACAAATTCAGCAGCACAAATTCAGCTACAGCCCTATCAGTCATAAATACGCTCTCTTCGATCTATACTTGGCCCTTTTCATCTGTGATTTCACACCGATTTCGTTATTTTTGTTTGTAATTTTGATTACATACCTCATTTAAAAAAACCGTGATCTATATTATACGTTCGAATCGTCTTCTCCACCATACTAGTAATCTTCTGCACCAGATGTTCACATTATTGAGATTTTTTGTAAGATGAAAAGAAGAATTCCCATTCGAGGTAATTCCTCATTTTTACATTTCTGTATCCTAAAAAGATTGTCTTAGTGCATAATTTTACTAAGGAAAGCAAAACCTACGCCCAAGCTCGAGTCTTAATTATCCCAGATAAACCTCAATCAACGATTAAGGAAAGAAACTTAATTACCCACCTCCCCGCCCCACTCTACCCCTCTTGCCTCTTAGAGAAGATGATTTTTTTTTCTTTCTTTTTTTTTTTTTACCCATACATATTTAATTTTTTTTAAGTAACATAAAAACTTTATGATTCAGGTGGCGAAAAGAATCTACAGAGTACAAGGCACTGACTGAACTGAGCCATGTACCACAAAGGACCATGCTCAACCAGTGTGCTTTGCGCGGCGTTGTTGTTATTATCCGGGAACTCGATACTGTTTCTCACATGTAACATTGTCAGAAACACGTGCCAATACTTCAGAGCGAAGACGGATGAAGAAGTCACTTGGAGCGGCGGCGATTCTATCGATGTAACCAACGAAATTCAGCATAGTTTTGGTGGCGAAGGTCCAGCTAACCGGTATGGATCTCCACTAACTGGCAGAGAAGGAACTTCAAAAGTGGTAAGTTTCTAGGGTCTATTTTATACTCTCATGGATGGCAACCCTCGAGTGCGGATGGCTCAAAAAATCTAAGAAGTCTGTGTTTACCTTATTTACTCAGTCGTACATTGGGAACAATGGGAGGATGGGTGGACAAGGAGATTTGATCAAAATTTGAGTACAGCTGTATGTGTGAGGTTGTTCAAGAGAAGTATCTGTGTACTACCTGGAAAAGATGTAATAAACTTTTATGGCAAGAGTACCATATAACCCCAGACATTATTTATGCATTCAGACTAGTAGACTTTGTTTTTAAAGTTTAATTGTCGTGAAAGACAAAGAAGTGGAATGCATAATTAATGTATGGGTTTATATGGTACTCTTTCCAACGTTAATCACGATTCTAGTCTTTTCTGTTTTAATTAATTTTCTGTATATAGAGACAAAATAGATGTACACAGAGAGGAATAAATGGGGGATACCAGCATGTAGTTAACTCAATTGCATAATAGGTTTTGACTTCAAATAAACTGGCCATAAGATAAAAAAGCTAAGAATATACAAATAAAAGAAGTAAGGGCATGCAAAACTTACAAGTGTAAAATACACAGGCACATGCACACCTCTTAGGGGGGAAAAGAATATGACTTGCAAATGCCCTTTGAAAGCTAGTTGTTAATAACACTACAGATCAGTTATGTTTTTGTATTGTTCATAGGAGTGCCTCAGGGATCCCTGCTGCATCTTACAATTCTCAGGGAAACAAGTATTTTCAATAAGGTAATAAACAATTGCAGACATGATACCAACTTAAATTGGACATTGCATTTAGTTAAAGGTGTTTGCAACCCAGTCAGTGTTAGTTTTAATAGGCACTTGCTTTCAAAATGCAGAACCTCTCTTTTAGCAATGAGTGATGTTTACATGAAAATTAATAGATGACCTCAATTAATTAAGCAGTCTTTTTTTTTATTTCTTTTCAGCCAAGAGGGATTTTCATGAGTAACAACAGGGCAAAAGAGCCTAAAAAAGTTGCATAAAGGAGGGAGAGAGGGGGTGGTGGTGGTGGAGAAAAAGAGACCTTTCCTCCCCTATCCCTGATACAAATGCTAGGGAATGAAACAATGATTTCCATATACAGGTTTCACCCTTACTTATTTATACTTCTGAGAAGTAGCCTATCAAAACTAAAACTGAGTGTGTAGAAGTTTTTCTTGTGTTTCCATGGCTGTTGAACATGGCCTAGCACTATTAGTGTTTCAAACAGCTTGGCCCTGTTTTTTAATCTCTGATTGAAGGCTTAAAATTCATGTTAGACAACTAGTAAAAGAATGGTTAATTAATTTGATGATTTAATTTAGATGGGTTTTCTATAATTTCTGTAACCTACTTAGACCGCTCTAAATAATCAGCCTGTGGATTAAAAAAATCAGGTAAATGCAAGCAGGAAGTTGTAAGAGGTTTGCAGAGACCCATGGATAATTATTGTTTTATTTAAAGTGTCCAAAAACATCTTATTTCACCCAGTATTTGTTGGTGTTTCATTGTCACAGCAAGTATGCAGCTAGGAACCCTTTTTTATCAAACATACAAATTCTTAATGCTTGAGAGCCAACTGGCCACTTACAAACTGGTCCCTTGGCCACTGGAATTAAATAGCATATCTGAGTTCATTAAAACAAATTATTCTGCCATTTCTCAATAATGAGGGTATTTGTTTATACACAAATTGACACACATTTCATTTTTGTAGACAATATATGAACTAATCAATGTTGAGCTAAGCTCAAAGGAATGCTAATCAAACTTGATGTGTTGACATAATAAGCACAGTGGGAACAAAATATATATATTGTGATGTGAAAGTTATCACTTTCTTCACAAGCCGTTCTTTTTCCCATTCATAAAATTAATATATTATTTATTTGCAACAACTTTGCAAATGAGAATTAAAGCTGAAGAGGAATGTGAATATTTGAAAACATAGTAGTACATGGCTTTTTTTCATGGAAAATTCCAAGTAAAAATTAATTAGATTTTCCAAAAGAAAAACAAACCAAGCACTGCTTGTTACCTGTAGGGCAGAAGCTTGGCCTGTGCTGCTTTACTCATCCCCATAGGATTATTACAGGGGGGAATAGCGGTAACTGCTTCTTCTTTCTGAACTGCCTGTCAATCCATTACAATTTTTACCCTTTGTACCCTTAAACATCAGTATGCAAATAATCCTCTGTACTGTTC